GGGCTCACAGAGGATTTGGGGTGTAGACACTGCTGTCTCAAAGACTGCTTGCCTTTCTCTTTGTATCTGTGCTTCTCCCTTGACATGGAGAGGGAGGGAGGAGGAGGCCGCACTGCCTGCGGCTCTCCTGGGGTCAGCATCCTGCTTGCATCCTGGCCCTGCCCTGCCGTGGATCCTATGCTGAGTTCCTGGCACTAGTTTCCCGTTTCCCTTCTCTGGACCTTTAGCTTTCCTCCAGCCAAGGCAGCTCTGAGGACAGCCTATGGTCCTGCAGAGGAAGAGGGCCAGGCCTTGGGTCGACAAGTGCTTGCTGCCCAGCATGACAATCTGAGTTCATCCTCAGGACCCACATGGTAGGAGAGGACCAGTCTTTAAGTTGTCCTCTGACCTCTACACATACACAGACATGCTGCATGTAACTCTTGTTTATTTGAGACAGGGTCTCACTAAGTAGTTCTGGTGTCCTGGAACTCAGTATGCAGACCAGGCTGGCCTCAAACTCACAGAGATCTGCCTGTCTCTACCTCCTGAGTACTGAGATTAAAGACGTGTGCCACCACTGCCAGGCTGTACATGTGATTTTTAAGAAAAGAGAGAATGGGACCTCTATGGTCATGGTTTTCTTGATTTACCAGCTGAGCATTTTTGACTACTTTCAGGAGAGGAAGAAATCATCTGTGACACAGCCTCTCTCAGGATCTGATGCTGTGCTGGGCCCTTTGTGTACAGGGGTGGAAACTGAAGCCCAGAAAAGGCTAGGCCTCTGGGGCTCCACTGTTGGTCATTTGCAGAGCGCTTCCACTCTGGCCCAGGCTTCGTAGCTCCTTGAGGGCACATAGGTAGCTTCACAGGTTCATGGACAGGGACCCTGGCCTCTCTGTGTAGCCCGTAACCGCCCCTCTCAGCCAGTGCTTCTACCTGGCTGGTTCCTATTTAAGGCTGGTGTCCAGTCTGGGTTCTACATCTCTTTTTGAAAGCTTTACAGAGGACTCAGATTTGGCCAGGCTTAGAGGGTGGCTGTGACGTTCTGTCTCAGCAGTAGTTGAACGGGGGAAGTGAGGTGGAATCTGGAAAATAATGGCTTGATTAGCAACATAGGTTGCTCAAGGTGGCTATTCACATGAGCTGGGGGAGCTGTTGACAGGTCTGAGTGGTACTTGGAATTTGGTATAATAAGCCTTGCTCTCTGCCTTGCCAGGCTTTGGAAGGACAGTGGCCCTAGTTTAGCTTCATTTCCTGGCACAGCCTACTCTACGGACAGTCTAGAGTGCAAAGGGGCTCTTGGGCCGGCAGCACCAGTGTCACCTGACTGGTCCTGCTCCCCACTGGCACGCTGTTGCTCCCAGCTGTTGTCATTTGTTCCCGTCTGTCTCCAGTTTTCCCACAGGGCAAGACCTGTGGTTTCCATGGGTTGTCGAGAGGTCCCTGGCCCATGGCTGCAAAGCACAGAGGGGCTTAGTCACCAGCTGGGGAGGGAGTGAGTCACCAAGGGCTTGCTGGACAGGAACAGCTGGTTCTTACCCATCCCCTTCAGGCCAGCAGCCAAGGGCCTCCCTGTGCACGTATTCCTCAGTCTCCCCGGTCCTCCGTGTGAAGGCAGAGTGTCTGGCTGTTTCTACGGGTGCAGGCCGAAGGCACTGAAGAGTGGCTGTTCCTTTGGTTGCCACAGAAGCCTGCACTTTACATCCGTGTCTTGGACATTGACGCAAACACCCTTCCTCCCTGTCTGTAGAACAAAACAGTATGGCAGTCAAGAGTCAGCTACTAGGAATCATGTACACACACACACAGTCCTAGTACTTGGGAGGATCAGGAGTTCAAGGTCATCCTCAGCTATCTAGTGAGTTCAAACCTAGTCTGAGCAGGTTTCTTCCTCTGCTCCTCACTATGTGTAAGTGAAGAGCTAGGATCTGTTCTGAGCCCTGCCGTATGCCAGAATTGCCGAGGCTGCTCTATCCCCAGAGACTGGATTCCATTCCATTCTCAGAAGGAGTCTGGGCAGCTCTGTGGGCATGGGTTGAAGTCAGCTTGGCTAGATGGTCTTCCAAGTCCCTTCAGCTGAGTCTGGCAGTCAGTCGGCTTCTCATGTGGGAAGCTGGCCCTTATCTCTGTGTTCAAGTCCCACCCCCCCACTCAGCTGGTGTTCAGGAAAAGAGGGACTTCTTGAAATGTTCCTACCAAACCCCCGTCTCACCAGAACGTGACTCTGGGTACATGCATGTTAGTGGGTGACTAAGCAAACGAAGACGCTCAGCACATTTCTTTGGTATGCACATGCTGGACGCAGATTTGCACACCAGTGGACGCACTGTTTTTACATAAATCATTCACTCTTTGGTTTGGGTTTTGATATGTGTGAGTGTTTTGTCTGAATATATGTATCTGTACCAGGTGCGTGCCTGGTGCCTGCAGAGGCCAGAAGAGGGGGCCAAGTCCTTTGAACTGGATTTACAGGTGGTTGTGAGCCACCTTATGGGTGCTAGGAATCAAACCTGGGTCCTCTGGAAGAGCAGCACTGCCCCTAACCCCTGAGCATCTCTCCAACCCTTTCTTGCCTTTTTGAGGCAAGGCTTTGCTATGTGCACCAGGCTGGCCTCAAACTTGTAATAATCCTCTTTCCTTTTTCTCCTGAGTGCTGGGATACAGGAGTACATCACACTAAGCAGGATTTTAATTAAATCAGGGTTGCATATTTACTATTATAGGATGTAGATTATCTTCAGCGTTCTTCAGAGATGATGATACTTTAATTTTCCGAGCAGCAATGCTGAGGACACTTTCATATGAGTATGTAGTATAAAATGGTACAGGCATGTTTAGGGCTATTTCAGAAGTTGTTGGAAATTGTGCCTTAATTCTGCCCAAATTCATTTCATAATTTTTTTTTTAGATGATACTCAAGTCAGCAACTCAAACAGCAATTTTTAAAATCAAACATTTTGGTAATATTCTCCAAAGATTCACTGATATGTACTTAAATGCCAAGGAATGACAGTGGGAAAATACTGTCTTTTCTGTAATTAACCACTGTGTTTCTGTATGAGCAGAGAATTCTGAGCATAGAGGGAAACACTGCAGTTCATAGCACAGGAGTCTCACAGGGGATACCAGCAGTGTGTGCTGGCACTGAAGAGCATCATGGCATGTGTAGAGAAAGTCATGGCATGGGCAAGAGCTGCCAGGAACAAAGTGAAGCCATTTTGTGAGTTTTGTTTTAGTTTGAAATTACTTCTAAAAAAAAGTGTGTGTGTGTGTGTGTGTGTGTGTGTGTGTGTGTGTGTGTGTGTGTGTTCCACACACGTGTGGAGTGTGTGGAGGTCAGAGGACAACTTGAGAGTGTCAGTTCTCAGTTCTTCCACCGTGTGGGCCCCAGGATTGGACTCATTTCCAGCTTGCCGGCAGACACCGTCACCTGCCGAGCCGTATCCCTGGTCCCCCAGCCCTTGTTTGGGTTTTCTTCTCTTTTAGAAATAAAGTCTCAGGGCTGGAGAGATGGCTCAGAGGTTAAGAGCACTGACTGCTCTTCCAGAGGTCCTGAGTTCAATTCCCAGCAACCACGTGGTGGCTCACAACCATCTGTAATGAGATCTGGTGTCCTCCTCTGGAGTGCAGGCGTGCAGAAAGAATACTGTATACATAGCAAATAAATAAATTTTAAAAAAAGAAAAAGAAACCAAGTCTCACTCTGCAGCCCAGTCCTTAATGTCCCAAGTGCTGGGATTGTAGGATTGTAGGATTGTAGGATTGTAGGATTGTAGGATGATTGTAGGATGATTGTAGGATGATTGTAGGATGATTGTAGGATTGTAGGATTATAGGATTATAGGATTGTGGGATTGTGGGATTGTGGGATTGTAGGATGATTGTAGGATTGTAGGATGATTGTAGGATTGTAGGATGATTGTAGGATTGTAGGATGATTGTAGGATTGTAGGATTGTAGGATTGTGGGATTGTGGGATTGTGGGATTGTAGGATTGTAGGATTGTGCTGTCACACCTAGTTGAAAAGCTGTGCTTGAGGGGCAACAGCAGAGATGGGAACCAAGACACTGATGCCACATTCTGTCACAGAGCTTCAGCTGAGCGGTCTAAGTTTCTCTTTGTACAATTGAACGCTGTCCCTAACTCCCTTTTGTTGAGAGGGAGACTACCTGGGGTGACAGCGTCCTCAGGTTAACTTTTCAAATGTGGCGTTCTTCAGTTAGTTCTCTGTTTGGACTCCGAGTCTGTGGTAGATACTCGCCTCTCTGTGCCCCGGCCCACGTGAGAATGAGCTAGGCAGATGTAAACTTGTAGGTTGGTTTCTTGCTATCCTGTGCCACACCCATGTGCCCCCCTCCCCCGACACACACACACACACACACACACACACACACACACACACACACACACACACTTGTG